AGCGCGGTAGTCAACTCTGGGCAGGATGCCCGTGGACGCCACGCGACGGGCAGCTCTCGCTCCCGCAGCCCAGCCCGTGAGTTTCCTAAGCTTCGAAACTTGGTACTTGCCGAGCCTAGCTCGAATTCCATGGTGAAAAAATTGAAGAGGCTGAGGTGGCCCCGCTCGATGCCGAGGTCTGCGACTGCCCCTCGGATTCGACGGACAGCCCCCTATGTCGGAGCGAGGTTACTAGGTCGAAGGCGAGGCTGCGATCACGCGCCATCGCCGCCGACTTCGGGGAAAACTCCAGTCCGTCCGTCTTCAAATCGGCTGCAAACTGCACGGCGGCGTCAGGCATGATCGGCACGAGCGTTTTCTGGCACCCCTCCATGCGAAAATTGACATCGTCAACCCAAGACTTCGCCACCACACCCCTCGGGGGACAAATATTGTGTATTCGTTCGAGGGTGGGGTATAAGAAGGCGGCTGCGGCATTCTTGGCGGAGCGACATCCTGCTGCGATACTCAGGGACGGGTCAGTGGGCGCGCTCACAGAGGACTGATCCGTGAGCAGACGGTGCCCTAAATAGGTGAAGGCCGACAGGCTCATGATGGTGGGGGAGTAGTCGAGGTCCAAGCGCCAACATCCAGCGAGTCGTAAAACTCTTCGACGTCGAACAGGATCGGGAGGTGGCCGACGCCCAATGCGTCGCAGGAATCATCCATAAAGTGGCGGCTTACAGCCGCTCGCAATGCACTACTGCCTCGGATCGCCTCGCCCCAGAACCCCGCCCGTCCGTCCAACCACCCCCGAGGGATCTCATTCCGAAACAGACTCCAGAGGCGGGTAAGCCAGACCAGCAGGGCTATGGCTCTTTCACCTCCAGAATCTTTTGGGATGAGCCCCATCAGAGCGGGCAAAAATTGCCAGGGCCAGGCCGCGTTGGCCTCCGCCTGGTGGAACAACTCGAGCAGGGCCCGCTGGCATTCAGGGCCGACCTCTTGGATATCCCGCGGCCCATGGCCGCGAGCGGGCTGCTCGCGGGTTCGCCCGCAGAAGCTATTTCATGACGGGCCTGGGGGGGGATGGGCTCCGTGTGCCGGTGGAGCTGGCCTGCGCGGCCACTGAAAGCCTCCTCGACCCACGTGCAAAATTTGCCTGGAGAGGTCCTGGCCGCTGCCTGCTGCGCGGTGGCGGCGTTGATCCGGGTGGCCCCCAGCAGGGCGGCAACATCCTCCTGAGTTATAATTCGGCCGCCTTGCCGAGCCAAGCCTGCCGCGACTTCGGGGAATCACAGAACAAGGTCAAGGGCAGGGCCCGTCGGGGCACTAGAGCCCCTCGCTGCTGCAGCTTCGACACGGCCTCGGCTCCCTGGGGCGATGAACCGCAACTTGAAAAACAAAGGAATTCCCGGATTCTCCTTCTTCTCAAGTAGCCCAGAGAGGGTATCGAAGCATGCTCGGCGACCTGAACGAACTGGAGGAGCTCGCCCCGCCACTGAGCGATGGGGTCGGCGTACCTCCTCGGCTGGTCTCTACGACTCAGGTGGGTGGTGCGGGGTGGGGCGAGTTTGGCCCTCCCCAAAAACCAAGCTTGCCGATCCACGGGCTCGCCGGGGTCTCGCGTGTCCGGCATGGAATCCGGCAGGGGCCCGTGAGGGAGATCCCCATCAATGCGGCGAAGTCGAACCAGTTGGCGGAACGCCTTGCGTCGAGCATCAACGGCGAGATGCAATCTGGTGGGAAAGTGCGGTGTGAATCCAGCGTCGTCTATGCCCCCGAGGACGGCATGAGCGATGCACCGACTGACGACGAAGAGGTCGTAGGTAGACCCGCTGCACGTGGGAGTCGCTGGAGAGACGATGCGGCCTTTGACGATGCCGAGCCAACCAGTCGCCGTGAGCATCTCCGGCGTGATGCCTCAATTCCGCGACCGCCCACGGCCCCGACAGCACCCCGAGCAGCGCGGCAGCCTCGGCCAGAACGTTCAGGTTGGCCTCCGACACGCCCTGGCTGTGGAAGAGCCAAGTGCTGCAAAAGTGCAGGCCGCCCCTCATGACAGCGCCAAGCCAGGCCGCCTGCAGCCGGTGTTGCATGCCGTCTGCGACCAAATCCACGTGCGGATGCAGCCCGACGCGCCGACGGCAAAGCACGCCAACGCCGCCAGATGCGCGATCCAAGGCGGTGGAGTGCGCATGGTCGATGTGCGACCTCCAGCCCGCAGCCGTCGCGGCCAGGCGAGCGGCATCCAGCCGGTGTTCGGTGTGGATGTTGTGTTCCTGGACCAACAGCACATCAGCGGAAGTCCGAAGGATGACCTTATCGAGGCACGTATCCCAGCAATTCGCATTGGCCGTGTCGATGGTCCACGCCCCGCGCGAGCGGATATTCGCATCCTCAATGCCGATCTGTGCAGGCAGCTGCGGAACGTCGCCGGCCGAAGCGGCAGCGCGGCGGCGAGGGCGAATGCGGCGGCCTTCGGCGGTGCGGCGACGGCGTGCACGGCGATGGCGGCTGCTGTCGGGCTGCGGCTGCCAGTTAATCAAAACCACAAAGGGGGCGTGCGCCTTTCCGACTCCGACGGCCCGCCATCGGCTGCAGCAGCAGGCGGCGCATGGAGGGGCCCTCCGCGGTCCCGATGAAAGCCGAGGATGCCGCCGGACAGGCCGTGATAGAAGCCATTGGTGGGAGCCGCTGAACTGAGGGGCTGGAACCACCAAGGCGTCGGGATCCAAGCCAGCGCCGCCAAGAGAGGCATGGCGGCGGCGGCGCTCCCGCGGAGCTGCGTGCGTGGGCGGGCCGATTTCCATCCAGTCGCCATGCCAGCTGGCCCGGCGCGAAAGGCGCGCCGAAGACAGGGGCAGCGCTCTCGACGACGTTGGCGGCAAAAGGAACGTCTGGAGGTTCAAGGGTCCACGGCGTCTGGAAGGGCACAGGTGGCCTCCTCAACGGCCGCATCAAATGCCCACTCCTCGCTGTCTCCCGGGGCGGCCGGGCCAGGGCGAGCGGCGTCGCCAATGCGGGCGACGGCCGCGAAGAAGAGGAGCAGGCTGATCCACCTGGGTCGCCTAACCCCTGGGCGAAATGTGACGAGATGGTGGGCGCCTTGCCAAGGCTCGTCCGGATCCTGCCGGCCAGGGCGTCGCGCTCCATGCGCAGGAGCGCCTTCTGTTTGGAAGGGCCGACGACCTTGCTCCACTTGCCGTTGTCGGCGAAATCGTCGCGAGGGAAGCGAGGTCGTCGACCGCGCTGGGGGCGCCCTCCGAGGTCGCCCCGGCGCCCTCGGTCTGCGCGGCAACCAGTGCGTGAAGGTGGGCCATCTGCTGCTCGAGCTGGGCCTCACGCTCGCGCCGCTTCCCTACCGGCGTACGCGATGGACGCGAAGCCAGCGGGGGCCTTGGCCGGCAGCCGCACTGCGGCTGGCGCCGCGGGGGCAGCCTCGGCCGCAGCAGCAGGCGCCCTCTCCGAGGCGAACTGCCTCGCCAGAGCGGCGACCTCCACAGTGGCCTTGGCCATCCAACCCAGCCCTCGGCCTCGGCGACGGCCGCCTGCTGAGACATCATTTGCTTGTTGAGCTCCTCCCGCTCCGCCCCCCGAGCCTGCAGTGCCGACTTGGCGTCGGCAAGCTCCCTGGCCATGCGCGCCGTGTGGGCCTCCGCCACCTCCAGCTGCTTGCTGAGAGGGTTAGATGCCCGCCGCGCAGCTTGCGCATTGCCGAGGTCGGCCTGGAGTTGTGTTCCATAACAGCTCCTACAGCTCCTGAACTCAAAGACCTCCAGAATTAGCTCAAAAGTATCAAAAACATAGTTTGTGATATTTTTATAAAATTACCATAAAAATAGAGAATCCGCGCTCGAAAATTAGGATTTTCATTTTTAGGTAGGAGAGCGATCCCGAACAAATACAACGGTGGGCCCAGCGATGCTCGCGAGCGCGAAGAGCATCGGCACTCAAACGCTTAGCTACGTTGCCCGTCGGAGCAACTGAGCAAATCAGCAACTGAGCAACTGAGCAACCTAGCAACTTGGCAGCTTAGCTCCAGAGCAACTGAGCAACCTAGCAACTGCGCGCTGGGGGGCCCTGCGCGTGATGGTACTCGTCAGGGCTGTTTGCAGGCGGGGGGGGGGCGCGCGGTTCCGTGGCCATAATGGATTCGCTGCGTTCGGGACGGTGGGGGCTATCAGCATGGAGTAGACCCAACGTGAGCAGCCCGCTAGCGTTGCCGCATTTTCGATCGTCATTTCGCCACGCATGCTGTTTCAAATAGGCAGGGCGGCAGCGATTCGCCGAAGGTGTCTTCGATGATAACCACGACATCGCTCCGCCAGCATCACAAGGAGCTCGCTTGATAGTACCGCGCGCGAGTGAGAGAAGAGTCGGGCCGCGGAGGCAGGGGGAGAGGCAGGAAAGGAGGGGGGGAGGACGGGGAGGAAGAAACAGAGAGGGATAATGAATCAGGCAGAGGAGACAAAACAAGGACCACGAATGGCTGAGGGCGGGCAAAGGGAAGATGACGAACAACTCGAGGGGGGGGGGGGCGGGACCGCCCGCTCGCGCGCAGCGGGACAAGCCCGCTGCGCGCGAGTCCACCGCGCGAAGTCCTCTTCGAAAAAATGCTGCAGGAAGCTCGAAGCCCGCCGCCCCCAGAGCCCATGATTGCGCCTGGCCGCGCCTCCAGGCGGAGGATGAAGAGGGGCAAGAAAGGAGGAATCTGGGATGGAGGGTTTGCAGTGGAAGAAGTGGAAGAGCTGGGAGAGGATGCGCGGGGGGGGGGCAGAATGGACGAGGACGCAGAGTTGGGAGGGCGAAGGTTGGTTGACCTTGGCGCCTGCTCGGCGATTCGCCTGACTATCGTGCGTCTTCGTCGCGCCCATCGTCGCCCTCATTTTCGAAGAGGCGAGACAGTTGAGCATTTGGCAGCACCCTAGGAAAGGGGATCAGCAAATGTCGGGCGAAAACGCGGCAACGCTAGTGGTCTGCTCACATTGATCGTCTCCTGCACTAGTGGGTGGTTGCGTTGGATGTGGATTCACTAAGGGGAGGGGGGGACAGTTGGATGAGGAAGAGGGTCCAAGTAGGATGGACAATGTCAACTTCGCAACTGTCGCAACTCTCATTAGCTCCGAAAGATCCAGCGGCGCAGCTGAGCAACTCAGCAACTGAGCAACTGATCAAACTCGCAACTGGGCAGCTTAGCAACAGAGCAACTGAGCAACCTAGCAACTTGGCAACTTAGCAACAGAGCAACTGAGCAGCTTTCGTGAACTCCTGGGGTGTCCAGTTTTAGTGCGGGGCCACGCTGTTCTACTTAACCACACTGGCTTTTCCAAATGGCAGGGGTGGCGGTGATTCGCCGAAGGCGTCTTCGATAAAAAACCTTCGCATATCAAATCCCATCTCACACGATGGTCAACTCATGTCTCGTGCCATCCTCGGGGTTCCGATTCGCACCAGTCTCATATTGTTTTTTTGTCTCGGCGAGGCCAGGCGGCTCGCCTCGAGGGCGGTCGGACGGCAAGGCCAGCCGTCTCGCCTCGATCACTTGGACGTGATCACCTGGAAGGCGCGATTGAACATCGCCAAGTGGAGCGCCGCCTTCTCCTGGAGGCCGTAGCTGCGCAGCTTCTTGGTGGCCGTCTGGACCTCCGTGCGCAGGACTGGCTTTTCCATATCACCTGCAATCGCTTCGATGATCGCCTGCTCCGTCTTGGCGACCACAAGCGCCTGAAGGAAGATCATAGCATGCCTCATCTCGACTGTGTCGGGGTTCGCGTCGCCAGCGTCCTGGAGGGCCGTCTTGTAGTCTTCGTGCTTCTTCTTGCGCTCGTCTGCGAGGTCGTGCGCATTGCCAAGGTCCACATCCTTCAACTTCGCCTCGTAGACTGTCACGAGCTCCGACCACGGGACACCCTTCGCAGGCCTCCACGACTCGGTCACGCCGCCGTCGGCACCGTGCGTGTACGTCTTCTTCAGGGCCTCACGCACTGCCGTGACGCTCTCTTGCAAGGCGGCCTTGGCCTTCGCCACGGCCCTGGCGTGCACCGCCTTGTCGGCAGTGTGTGTGTGGCGTCCTTGACCGCGCTGGCCATCTGCACCACCTTGCCGACTGTCGCCTCCAACAAGTGCTTCTTGAGATCGCTGATCTCTGGCATCATGACGTGCTCTGTTTCCTTCAGAGTGCAGAGGGCACGGCGCATCCTTGCCGTCGTCTCTTTCTGCTGCTCGACAGTGACCTCGTGGCTGCCGTCCTCAGTCGCTTGGATCGACTGCACGCTGAGGCTGCAGGTGGCCGAGGCCCGCACGGCGTCGAATAGGCGGCGGATCTCTGGGCCGCCCAGCGCGGGGATGGTATCGCACAGCGTCGGCCCACAATCAATGAGCACCGGGTCGATCTGGGCCGAACCGTCGGGTGAGATCCAGTCCAGGAGCGTCTTGCAGCACTTCGCAAGCAAATCCATCCCGACCTTATCGACCAGCTCGTGGCGCTGGACGCTCCCTGCGAACTTCACCGCGGCGTTGGCAGCCGTCCTCCGCTCGTCTTCGTCATTCTCGGTTGCCTTCCCGCTCAGCTCCTCCAGCGCACGTTTGAAGTTGTCGGCGCGGGCGGCCGCGTTCAGCTGTGCAACTCGGGACCCGACCTGCGACTGCGACTCAGCCATGGCGGCAGACATGGGAAACGCAATCACGGACGCAGCGAGCAGCTTCTGGAGTGAGTCCAAAAGCGTTGTGTCCGTCAGCACACCTTCTGCATCAAGAAGCTCCTTCACGAGGGCCGTCACCTTGTCGGAAAGCTTGGTGGATACCTTGCTGAGGCAATCTTGTGGAATGACGGCCTGCATGTCAACCATGGCCTCGCAGTGCGACTGCAACTTCTGCGCGAGGCCCTTGCGATCTTCTGGGGCGGACGGGCTGTCGGACATCAGCTTATCCATATCTTTCAGAATGTCGTCCTTCTCGATCAGCATGGGAATCGCGTCCTTGTAGGTCTTCAAACGGTTCTTCCAAAACTCGGTTGTGTCCACGGCGTGGAGGATCCGCACCTGGACACAGTCTGACGACTTCGTCATGTGCTTGATCAAATCTTGAACGTCTTCATGTCCATCAGCGGTCGGCAGGAAGTCAATCAACGTGACGATGGCCCTCATGGTGGTGAGAACCTGTTGCTGGCGTAAACATACGACACTTACTTGGCACACTGGAATCTCAGGTGAACCTCATCTTGGATCTCTCCTCCTCCCTCCTCCTCCTCCGGCCTCCTCCTCCTCCTCCTCCCTCCTTCTCCTCCTTCTCCTCCCTCCTCCTCCTCCTCCCCTCCTTCCGCCCCGTCCTCCTCCTCATCACCCCCCCCTCCCCCCTCGGTAGAGGGGGGGGGAACCCTCCCCCCCCCTCCCCCGAGAGAGGGGGGAAGGGGAGGAGGAGGAGGGAGGGAGGAGGAGGGAGCCAAAACTGTTTAGGGGGCCGTAGGAACATCCTGGATGAAGGAAGCGGCGTCCCTGGGCAGCTCCCAAATGTCCTCGTCCTTGAACACTTTCACGGCGGCCAGAGCGTAAGCCTTGAGGGTCGCCAGCTTCGAAATCCCGTCGAATATCCAAGGGCGCACATGCTCGGAGTAGACCACCTTGACGAAGTGTCTCAGCAAAGACCTCAAGCTGTCGCCAATCGCCTCCTCAGTTCCGCTTGTCACACAAGCCATGCCGAAGCTCGGGTTGATGAGGTCGAGCTTATGTCCCTCTGGTGGCGCCCAGCACCGAAAGACCTTCAAATGACCTTCCCAATCTGCAGCATCAGATAGTGTAGATTGCCTCAAATCAGCTATGCTGAAGATGATGCTCTTAGGCCATACCAGCTCAGCCTCGTCTTCGAACTCTTGGATGGTATCGGACAGCTCGGGCCAAGATTTCCCTCTCACAAACGTCGGGTTGCGCAACTCGCAGGCCGTATCGAGCTTCGAGATGTACTTGAGACGGAGCTTGGCTTCGATCTTGGTCGTCTCCTTCGTCAGGTCGTCCTGCGCCTTAGCCTTCAGAGGCGTCAAGCTCCGTCGGTCCTTGATGCCGTCGAGGAAGAGCTGGACGGGGTACTTCGACTTGATGCTGCCGACCGTTGCTCCTTGGGAGAGTAAACGAGACGATGGAAGTCGACTCATGTTGTTGCTGATGCTCATTGTGCGACGAACGATGCGACGGACGACGGACGAATGACGATCGACACATCGCGATCGTCGACGAACCACGAATGACGAACGACGAAGAACGACATACGACGACGAACGGAGTTCCCAGGAGCCCGGGCTCCAAGGAGCATCAACAGCACGATCCCCAGCTCTCACATGATATTGGAGCTGTTGCTGCTGCTGGGATGTATGGCCATGAGTAGCATGGCCATGTGTGTCAGCAGCAGTACCAGCTCCAATGTCATCGTCGTCACCACGGGGGCGGGATTTGGAACCAGTAGGTCCGTCGTCGTCGCCGAAGGCGCTCGCGGAGCCCAAGCTCTCACGAGTGTTATCGCGACCTCCACCTGCCGCGCTAGCTGCAGGGCGAGAAGCCATCGAAACTCTCGACGAGGCGTCGTCGAAGTCCCTGGGGCAATCCTTCCGCGGGTCGGAGGAGGCGCCTCTCGAAAGCCGCTGCCTCTTGCCCGCTGGCGGTGAGGGTAGAGGTGTCTGGGCGCGACTCCCCGCGGCAACGCCCTCAAGCTCTGGGCCATCATCTTCTTGCTCCTCAGCAGCCTCCTCGCCGCCGCCCGCCTTGTCGTCCTTAGCTCTCTTGAGGGTCTTCTCTCTGAACATAGTAAATGGGGTGAGGCCCTTTACGAGTGCTGCGGCTGCGCCGCTCTCGGACAATGCCACCGCACTCGCGTGGGCGAACGCCTCCGTGGCGTGGCTGTCGTAGAGCAAGGCGCGCGCAGTCAGGAAGGTGTTAGCAAGCGTTACCAACTGCGACTGGCTGATCTCTACCTTGCGGAAATGCTTAGTCTCGGGATCAGAAAGAAAGAGGTACAGCGTATCTTCCTCGTTGGCGTCCCGCATCGAGGGGTGCGCGATCTTCAGCTGCGCCTTCAACATTGGCTTGGACAACCGAGCGACTCCGCAACTGGCACGCATCTCGCTCTCCGTCCACGCGTCGAACTTGTAGTAAACCTCCACAACGCTCTGCGTGCCCGTGCTCACGTTCTTGTCGCCGAACTGGAAGGTCGGGTTCTCGAAGGAGTCATCATGGAGCTCCATCTGTGTCTTGCGAGCCTGCTCGGTCTTCTTCCTGCAGTCGCCGCCCTTGTGATAATCCTTCGCGAACAGCTCCCACGTGTCGTGCATCAGCACGCGCGCGCCGAGGAGGTAGCACTCCTCGCACGCGTCGCCGATGGGGGTCACCACGGGCACGCCAGCGCCTGAGGTAGATTTCTCAGTCATTGCCCACTTCACATCCTGTAATAGAAAAGGACAAGGATAAGAGAAGTGACGATGAGGGACGAGGATATTGGAGGATTTGAGGAGGTTAAGAGGAGGGACAATCCTTGAGGTTCGACGTCCGCTCGCAACATGCACACGTGCACGTCGATTGGCCCGCTGTTTTTCTCTGTCTTTTCACTGGAGACAACTCTGGCCCACCTAGAGCGGGTTTGCCGCCGCAGCGACCCCTCGCGCCACTCGAAGCTGCTCCTGCTCCGCGGCCCTTCTGCTCCTTCTTACCCGCCATGGCGAACACCGCAAGCGGAAGGATGGATCCAAGGTATTCGAATCAAACTGGCCTCGCGAGTACCGCTAGCGCAACTGACTCTGGTCAAAATGGCCTCGACGAGGTGGGGGTGGACACTGGTATATACACGCGCACCGTGCCAGCCCACCAGCCCCAAGAGGCCCCACATCGTTGATGTTCATTCTGCTTGTCCCAAGGCCCCAAACCGCCGAGGCTTCCCAAGAAGGCCCCAAGAGGCACAAATCGTCGATGCTTCCCAAGAGCCCAAGAGGTCATACATCGCTGATGCTTCCAAAGGCCCCAAGAGGCCCAAACCGTTGATGTTCATTGTCTTTTTCCATGTGTTCTCGCGTTTGCTCGCTATGTTGTTCCATTGTGCTTTCCCAACGCGTAAAAAAACAAACGCCGATGGTTTTTAAGCTTGCATGTGTTTTTCAAGGGTTGGGGGCCGAAACAAAACAATACTTTTCAACCACCGAAAAAAAAAACAGCTCACGAGAGACCCCAAGGAGGGGCCCTATGGGGGGAACGCGAACTGACAATTCGAGACCTGTGCACCAGGAAGCCCCCAGGAGGCGTGAGGAAGCCCCCAAGAGAGCCCAATATGCCCCCAGTGGCCCAAGAGGCCCCACGAAGCCCCCAATATACAGAAAAAGAAACCCCAAGGAGCCCCCGAACGGCCCCAAGAGGTGTCAGAACTGCCTCCAAGAGGCCACCGAGATGCCTCCCAAGATATCCACACAAACCTCCAAGAGGCCTCTAACCCAGAACCCAGGCACAGTGGCGGGATTGGCCGAAGGCCACTAGATAATTACACGAACAAGATGCGAACCATGGCTGGCATTCAGCACCACATAGATTGCACCCAGTTGTCGTCGTCGTCACCGTCGTCTTCGTATTCGTCAGCAACCTGTCTTCCGTCGTCGTCGTCGTATTCATCTGCCGCCGTCGTCGTCGTCGTCTTCATCGTCATGTCGTCGTCGTCGTCGTCATCGTCATCGTCGTCGTCGTCGTCATGTCGTCGTCGTCGTCATGTCGTCATCGTCATCGTCGTCGACTTCGTCCGCGTCGTCGTTTTCGTCGTCGTCATCGTCGTCGTGTCATCGTCGCAGACTGACGCATCGAGAGTTTTTGTTTGTTTTGTTTTCTGTTTGTTCAATCGGCTCAGGGCTGCGAGAGTTGCTCGTGGCTCGCTGCCGCTAGCATATGGGGCCACGCTTGTGGCTGCTGACATGGAGGCCACGCTTGTGGCTGCTGACATGGATGAAGTCGCCCACGTGGACGGCGTAGAATGCGTAGACGTGGAAGTCGCAGACTGCTAACATGGAAGAAGTCGCATGGCTAAAGGGAAACTTCCTGGCTATCGGGCGGCAGGGTACCTGGCTCAAGGGTATCCGCTGGCGGCAAGGTATCTGGCTGAAAGGCATCTCCTGGCGGCAGGGTACTTGGCTGAAGGGCATCCGCTCGCTGCTGCTCTCCGATAGGCCCTCGCTGCAAGACAAACCCCTTCCATTTGGGACGCGGCGACCTTATAATTGAACTGGCGTTCGAAAGTTGAGGCACTGGAAACCCTTGGCCGTCGTCGCCCAATGAGTCCTCCACAACGGTGGCAGCTTCAGCAGCAACATGACCCTGGAATGCTGCTTGACTCTCGACGGGCAAGAGTGGAGTGGTGGAAGGCACAGGAACGGTGTCAAGACCAAACTGACTGCCCGTGGCGGATGGAACAGGATGGAAGCCCGCCGCCTTCGGCGCGTTCTCGACCTGGGCTGACTCATGGTGGAGGCCCACCGCCTTCGGCGCGTCCTCGACCTGCTGCGGCTGACCCCACGCCACAGAGTGGGAGTTCACCGTCGGCTCGCTCGGCGTGCCCTTCGTCTCCTGCTCGACCACGTAAGGAACGCCCACGACCTCCACATCACTCGATGACTCGCCGTCCTTGCCCTTCGTCTTGAGCTTCTTCGCCGCTGGCCCTACCTGGTGCATCGGCCTCGCCTCCCGAACTTGCGGCCTGGCCTCCCGATCCTGCCTCCTCGGGAGCTGGCGGCGCTCGCACAGGTCCGCTAGCTGTAGAGCTCTTTGTCACAAGCTCAATCTCGGCTGGCACACTGAAGTTCAGTGTGCCCTGCAAGTGTTCGGGCGGATCTTCGCACAGCAACTGCAGGCGCAGGGTGTGGCCCTTGACGTTGTGCAAGCGTGGGGGCGGCGTGCTTGCGCCATGTTCAGGAAGAGACATCGAAGCCGACCGACTGCGTGTGAAGTGATACCAAGAACACAAATGCAATATACATATAGAAATCAAAGATGTCTAGCCGCCCAAACTGCTGTAAGCTCAAATTGCTGTGGGACAACAATATTCTGAGTTGGACTGAGAGATTGCTGAGCTGGAATGAGCTGGACTGTCAGGCATACGAGAGTCTCAGCTAAGCCAAGCTGCGCTCCTGACGGCCAGCTGGACAGCCAATCGCTGAGCTGGATAGTCTAAGTAAGCTAGGCAATATCGGCAGCTAAGCTGTCTGAAACTGCATAGAGTCTAAGCTAAGCTGCGCTACTGACAGTCCAGCGGTAGGCGTATGTCGGGGCCCTTGCGCTCCTTGCAAATAATATTTATAAGGCCCCCCCCCGACGCAGCGAGCCCAAGAGGCGCTCGTTCTTGCAGCCAAGTCCTTACGTTTTTGCCTTTTCTGGCAGAAAAATCACCCAAAAACAAAAAATGGTAGGACCTTCAGCGGCCCCTCCTCCCCTCCCCCTCCCCTCGGGAACGGCTCCCCCCCCGGCTGCGCCCGCCCGAGCGCGGTGGCGGAATCGCGCGGCAGCGCAACTAGATTGTTTGTTTTTTTTTGTGGTGCGTTGCTGCCCTCCCCCATGCTCGCACCAGGGATCACTGGGAGATCAGACCACCGTTGTTTTGGTGCGCTGCTGCCCTCCCCCATGCTCGCACCAGGGATCACTGGGAGACCAGACCACCGTTGTTTTTGTTGGTGCGTTGCTGCCCTCCCCCATGCTCGCACCAGGGATCACTGGGAGATCAGACCACCTGTTTGTTTGTTGTTTGTCGCCGCGGTGCTGTCCCACCGCATCGCTTGAGACATCCTCGCAGTTTTCCCAGACACCCGAAGACCCAAGAGAGCCGCACGGCAGCCCCGAGACCACTGGGCCCTGGAAGGCCGAGGACCCCAATGGACCCGCACGGCAGCACGGCAGAGCAGACCAACACGGCAGAGAAGCAAGGCAGACCAGCCTTGCAGACCAGCATGGCAGATCAGCGCGGCAGCTCAGTAGCACTGCAGATCAGCAGGGCAGACCAGCACGGCAAACCAGACGGGCACGGCAGGAGCCCAACATGCCCAAGACGCCCAAGGAACCCAAATAATACCACAAAAGGCGCACCCCTCACGCGGATCCGCGAAA